CTATAACTATGAATCTAATAGAGCAAAACTTCTAAAAAATTCACAAATTATTCAAAACTAAATATGGAATCAACTATTTATGGTAAATTCAGTAATTGCTTGCAAATATTCACTTTTCCTTAGAAAATATGCAAATATTAAATAGGGGGTGAATAATTCTGTTAACAACTGTATATATACAAACAAACATGTAAAGTGAATTAATTTGAAATAATAAGAAGATAATAAGAGAAGAACGATGAACAAACAACTCTAATTTAGCTAATTATTCAACAGTTGTGATAATAGTATGAGCTAGAGCATTGTCATGGTTAAGTATCACTTTCCATTTAATGCCAATGTCTTTTTCTTGAGCTATGGCGGCAGAATGAATATTAGGAATTTAATGCAGACAGGAGAGTTCATTTGGATTCCATATAACAAACACCAACCAACTCATTGCCAATAATCTCTACCTAAAACATGACTCCTTCACATCCTTGTTGACATCTCAGTCAAAGAAGCTTAGGGTCATCATTCACACACATGATTCTGTTTGTAAGCCATTGGGATCACCCAGAATTGCCCAGCACTCATCTGTAAATAACATACTGAAAATCTAATTTTAAATACTTTTCAGCCCAGAAAACACATTTTTGGAGTGATTCAGCTTCAGGAGAGGGCAAAAAATTGGCTTAGAGCATGTTCCTAAGAGCTTCAGGATGAACTGTCATGAGGTTTTAGGTATATTTAGAACTCCAGTGGCTGCAAATAACTCTGTTACTCTTAAGCAGGTGTTTGCACCTTTCAATCTTCAAATTAGTTCCCATTTGTCATTAAGATATAAATATCCACATATTATCCTTTTACCAGCATATACACTGTATACAAGTGAGTTTGAGATTAATTTCTAGATTGTACAATGGTCTCTTGTAAGAATTTTAGAAATTTCCTTCATAAAGCATTTCAACAATTTTCACCCTTTTATTTTGCTCAAAAATGTTTTACAGCCCATGCTGCATATAATTTGGAACAGTAGAAAAGAAGCAATATCACAAAGATAGCTGCTAGTTCTTTATTACTGTACAAAACCACTTGATATTGCATACCATAGTGTATACAAGAGCTTAAAAATTTGTGACAATACATGCAGTCAAGCAGAGGATAATTTAAGCAATTTGCATATAATGTTGGAACACATTGTAGCAAAATCAGATAAACTCAAACGAGATGAATATCTCAACTGATCAGGATTTTGTCAGTAAACTCCAAAATATAAGCGTGACGATTATGCCTAAAAGCATGCTAAAATTTCTTGAAAAGAAACTGGAAGAATTTGTGTTCTGAAAAAAAAATGATAGGTTACAAATCCAGGAGAGTGTTAGGGTTCTGAAAATAATTAATGTCATCTAATCTCCAGGGATTGTATAATTCTAACTGATATGAAGAGAAAAAAAAGACACAAGAAGAAAGAAAATGATTATGAATAAAGATATTAACTGTTTACGAGGCTTTATTTTTATTTTGCATCAATTTGTAAATATCTTGTAAAATTTTATTAATAACAAATGCATATCACTTTTCACTTTGAGGCTTTAAATCTTTATCTTAATAGTTATAGATGTTGAAGTAAAAAAAGGAATAAAAATAAAACAGGTAATACAATTTAATCTTTGCCAAAAAGAGAATATTGACATGCAAGATATTGAAATATTCCTCTATCCTCCTTTCCCTATATTTGTTTCAAAGGAGATATATATATATATATATATATATATATATATATATATATATATGTGTGTGTGTGTGTGTGTGTATTAAAAGTTTACTATATGTGTAGGGGAAATTGTGCACAGTATCAGAGATAGGGCATTTGTATTATATAAAGAATATGGACATAAGAATCAACAAAGCATAATGACTCTCAGTTTCAAGTTTCAGTCAATCTTCAGACACTGAAATGTTGATTCCTATATTCACATACATATTTTTTCTCTTTCATATATATATTTATATATATATATATATAGGGTTGAATCTACAACTGTATTGTCAGCTGAAATTACCACTCTAATGTTTGATGAAGGTGATTAATAGTTACCACTGAATTCATTGTATTGCCAAGGAAAAATGATTATAGTGAAAAATAACCATAAAGTTCTTTTTCCTCATTAGGCTACAGATTTATTAAGAAATCTACATATATATGAAATTGTTTAAGTCTGGGCAACACATAATCACCTTGCTGGTTATAAAAGCTAAAAAAAAAAAAATGTTCATAAAAAGAAGTGAGAAATCACTTCTGGCAGATATCCAGAAAACTATTTGACTGCAGACATATTTCTAGGCAAGCTTCTTTCAGCTAAAAAGAAAAAAAAAGTCACATTACCTCAGAATTTTTGTATTTTCAATAAATGTGATGATTCTTTCAATTCAAAAGTTTTTATGAGTTCTGCTTGATTTGAATCCAAAATTCTAAACAGACATCCATATTAGCCAGTTTGCCTTCTTGTAAAATCTACAGTACAGTAATAGTAGTAGTGAAACAAGAAAATCCAGTCTAAAGAAATGGCCAACCACATTTGCCAGCTAAAATTTTAACTTTGTGAATAATCAGTTTGTTGGTGGAAAATATCTGCTGGAAAGGTGAGATTTATAGTAATCGTGTCAAAAGCCCTTACTTGTAAATATGTTACTAACTTGTGTCACCAACATGAATAAAAATGTCTTTATTCAACAAACATCTTTTAATAAATAAATAAAAAAAATTTTGCTTGTCTAAATTTTTAATTTCTTTCAATTCACCCCAGTCAGGCACCAGTCTACTGAATGAGGATCAAATTTTGGTAGTTTTATGGAATTTTAAATTAGATTAAATTATCCTCACTAACTTTTGTACTAAAGAGCATGCAAAAAAAAAAAATAATATCCAGATGATGATGATGACATTGTTGAAAACAGCTAGGATACTGGGAAATGTGCTGGAATTCTGAGGAAACTTGTCACTTAATCTCCACTGTAAGCCACCAAGTACTATTGATGTGAACACTTATTGCTGTGATATTAAAAGTCAGTATCTTCAGAACAGAATCTGGAATCAAAAAATGTTGTTGATGCTCAAAGGAACAACAAATGGAAATGAACAACTCAACCAGAAAACTATCAGGACATTGAACAATAAAAGAAAACTAATATTCATGAATACTGACAAAAGATTTAATCATGCTGAAAGAAATCAAGGGAAAAATATCTTAGAAGGAAAATATTAGATACAAAGCTCAGTAGCAGTAACAAAAAAATAAAAACACTTTAGGAGATTCAGAACACTTCCTAAACTGGATAAGAATTGATCAATTTAAGTTATGTGCAAAACCAGGAATTTGATGCCAATGCATAAAAAACCTTGTAACTCAGAGATGAAAGAGACTATAAAAGAAAAAGCAAAAAAAATGCAACATCATCAACATTGAGTATTGCACCAATTCTGCTGTAAATGGAATTTAGGATTATACAAGGTAAAACAGAGAAAGATTATAAGGGTAAAAAGTTTCAGTAGAAATAACAGGAGGACAAACAGAAGATCAAAAGCCAAAATTGAAAATAAAAACAATTGCACAATATGAGAGACAAATAAAAAGAATTACAAAGAAGATGACATAAACCTTGTCATGAAGAGGACATTTGAAGAAAGAAACAATCTTTATAAATAGTAGCTGAGAATACTTTAATAACAATCAATTATATTAATGCCAGCATATAGCTGATACATCAAAATAGTCAATGAAGTCTATTCAGAGATAGAAATGAAACCATCACTCTTATAACAACCAAATGCAGTACATTGGCTTTGAAAAGGTAAAAAAAAAAACAGGTTATCATCTACTGTGCAAACAAATGAGACACATACAGAAACCTGAATTTATGATAGGAATTAAAGACATAAAATTCTCCATAACTTTGAAATTCAAGCAGATATAGGTGAGAAGATCTTAACCTCATCAGCCAAGAAAAAAGATTGTAAGATAATAGATTTCTCTGTTCTAATGGAACACGCAATAAAATGAAAAGAAAAGGAAAAACTGAAAAAAATATTTGGACTTTGAAAGAGAATTGGAAAAGAAAATGTTGAAATATGCAATTGACAGTAGGGACTGACTACAGGAGTTCTTTGAACGCCACCAAAGAGTCTTTCAAATGCAATAGAAGATATGGAAATACATGAAAGAAACAAAACCATCTACAAAACAACATTACTGAAATTAGCTAGAATACTGAGAAGAGTGCTGGGGTATTGGGGACACTTGCCATCACTTGATCTTTAGTGTAAGCTACTTCTTGGAACCTATAATAAGAAGAAGATCTGTAACAATTTTATGGAACTTTACAATACACACAGATAAAATAATAAAAGCTAATTGCCTAGACATAGTGATCAGAGACCACAAAAAACAGAATGTACTTTCTTATTGACATGGTAGTCCCTGCAAGTTGTTATATATTTTTGAACATCTTCAAAAGACTATCAAAATACAAGGATCTTCAAGTGAAATCTAAAATGTGACACATGAGGACATCAACAATTCCAGTTTTAGTTGGATCCCTCGGATTGATTGGATAAGATTCTGATAGACTCATTGAACAGATTCCTGGTAGCCAATGAAAAAGAAATACAAAAAATTGTACTCCAAGACAGCTCACATATTATGAAGAGCTTTATCTATGTAAAGTGTGTGTGATCTTAAGGTTAGTCTTTTTTTTTCTTTTACAAAAATGATTGGTGGAAAATATCATAAAGCCATTTCTGACCTTAGGTCTCTGGTTGGGTCCCAGAAGGAAATGTGTATACAACAAAAATCAAAGAAAATAAATGAATAATACTATTGTTATTCTACTTGTATATAATCTACATTTAGAGCAAATAAACTGAGTATATATAAAAAAAATGTGTAATTACTAAACAATTTATTGTAAAAAATATCTATGCCTTTCGAGCTTGATAAAAGAAACAGGTCAACAAGTCT